CCAAATGCAGTTTTTTTTCACCTTCATTTCAACATGGAACAAATATAAAACAAAATCGAACATAGAAATTTTTCAAAAAAAAAATGACAAAATAAAAGAAGAAATATAATTATTAGCAACTAATCTTTAAGCCGATGACGGTGATTGGTATTTGCAGTTCTTTTTTTCGAATAAATCCACCACCGGATAAGTAAATTGTCGTTAAAGAAGACTTATCAGTTGAACATTTTGAAGAAAACTTATCAGTTGAACACATACGTTTGATTCAAAAAAATAAAGATAACAAATATTACATATTTGTTTCATAAAATAACCGTCAATAGATGCATAAATCTCTGGCAAAATTGTTCATTCAAAATTCAAAAATTAAGAAGATAACAAATATGTAATCTTTAAATATTTGTTTCCTAAAATAACTGTCAATCATAACTGCATAAAATAAGGAAGGGTGTTTAAGTAAAAAAGATTTTAATTCATTTGAATTTTGTACCTAAACATAAAAAAATTTATAAAAATTGTACTTAATAGAATAAATCATTTACCCATTACCTTTTGCTCAAATAAGTATTAAAAATTATACCTACACCTAAAAAACCTTTCTTTTGTGACGACTCGAGGGTGAGCCCAATGCAAAAGTACCTGAAAGATATACAAAATACATATTACTATTCGTAGGTAATAAATTTTTGTATATATTATTTGAATCTAAAAATTGGATCTAATTTATTGATTCATGATGTGATTTCATAGAAATTATTGGATAAATACCAAATTCTAGTATTTGATAGGGTCTACAATCAATTTAAAAGTTACAGTGAATTAGGTCAATAAATTAAGTTAATAAATTAGGTTTCTCTCCGGCCTTTTACTGCATCCACCCTTGGAATGAGTAAGAGTCCTATCAACTTTTTATGTAGGAGCCATCAACTATTATATTTGAATTATAATTTTTTAGTTTTATTTGAATTGTGTAATATTTTCCCAAACTTTATACCCAGTCTTGGCCTGGAAGCTCTCACAACCAAGAAGAGAGAGAGAGAATAAACACAATGGTTGAATCAAATTACTCATAATTATAAAATTATAATTTTTTTGATGTGTAAATTATAATTTTAAATGATACGAATAATCATGAAATGTTAGAATTATTACCAAAATTTCATGATCGATCATGAGTATATGTGATTGATCATGACCTTTTTTGGAGCAATTATAATTTTTTCTTTATAAATTATAACTTTGTTATAAAAAGTGATGACCGATAATATCAGATTTTCCCAAATCAAGACTATGGTAACTTGTTTGCCAAAACAAGCTTTTGTCGTTAGAAATTCTCTCTCTCTCTCTCTCTCTCATAGAATGGTTGGTGTAGTTCTTCAACTGACCTACTTGCCCTACAACTACCCCTCTTCTTCTCCCCTGCTAGACTAACCTGTTGATAGAACTCAACATCAAATCTAGAAAATATTTGCTGACTGACACAAATCATATCAGAGTGTCTTTGTGTACTTGATAAAAAAATTGTCGCATTATTAATTTGTGGGCTGCACAAAGACAAATTAGAGGTGATAGTCTTTCGTTAGGAATATAACGAGAGGTGAGAGTCTCTTGACATTCTTGATTATTGAATTAAAAAAAAATAAAAGTAATCCATCCCATGCGATGCACTTCATGTTTTTTTAATCAATTAGGAAGTTAAATAAATAATTATATTAAATTTTTGAGTGATAAAAAATAATTTTTTTTGAATAAATTTTAAAAAATAGTGGTTAATTATTGAAGAATTGATGAATAATTACAAATGATTTGATTGAAACAAACCTTAAATTTTTAATTAAAAAATTTTGAATTCTAAGAAATTAAGATATGAAGCACATGTACTAAAAAATCTTTCTTTGTCATTTCTAGAGGTATTAGACACCTATATTTGCAATACAATGGCTAAAAGATCTCATTTGGCTCGAGCCCTTTGGAAGCCAGCTCAACGTTGTAATAGAGAGTTGGATTTGTCGACGGCCTTTAGTTCAATAATATTTTTTATCTTATGAAAATTTTATTTTTTTGAAATCAAAAATTTAAATCTCCTTTAATCTCTCTAAAAAAAATTAAAAAAAAAATAATAATAATAATAGCGGGTTGGACTAATAATTCCAACTGCAAAAAGATAGTCGAGTCTACGATCTTCAGACTATTTAACGGTCAAGTCCTACCAGTCCCCTCTCTCTCTCTATATATGAAACAACAATAAAAGACCTTATCTCTCCTTGTTTTATATCCTTCAGCTAACCCTACCCCACCAGTACCACTCTCTCTTTCTGTCTCTCGGGCACACTATCCCAACCCATTCGTCACTCAAATATCTCAATCACCATGGGCATCGTCGGCATGTCGAACCTTGTCGTTCCAAAGATTTCTTTGCCTCCCGGGCCCCTTCTCTGTGTCTCGTAATTATCTTCTTACCCTCTTGCTTTTGGATTTATCTTGGTGTTCGTTCTATATACATAACCACCATCATTTGAATGCAATACAAACTCTTAACAAATTAGGAAATGAAACCCACTTATAGCATGTTTGGTTTGGTAGAAAAATGGGTGGATGGAAAATGGGATGAAAAATGACATTTTACTTTGTTTGGTATGAAAGGAAAATTTAGGAAAAAGAAAAATTGGGTGGAAAACATATCATTTGTTGCACCATTTTTAATCACTCCACAAATGGGAGGGAAATGTACGGAAGGAACCGTGTAGCCCACCTATTTTGTCATTTTTTATATACAAGTGCACCAAATTAGTGGGTCTCACATAAAATTATTAATTTCTTGACTTTTTTATTCATTTTTTTTGAACAAATGAATTTTTTTGCCCTTAAAATATATTTATATATAAAAGTATAATGGTAAATTAAATACATATATCTTTTCGTTCTTTTTACTTTTTCTCTAATACCAAACAATAAAAAATTAATTTTTTCAACTTTTTGTCTATCATACCAAACATAAAGGAGGGAGAGTGTTTTTTTTTCCTCAAAGGATGAAAAGTTTATTTCTCATATTTTTCTATCCTTCTAATTTTTCATCTCTCCTACCAAACGGAGTATTAGAGACATGTGTACTAAAAAATCTTCCTTTCCCCATTTCCTAATTTTTTAATGTTCTGTTTAGTAAGAATGATGAAAAATTAGAAGAATAGAAAAGTGTGAAGAATAAACTTTCTATCATTTGCAGAAAGAAAAACATCATCTCTCCTTTATGTTTGGTACGATGGATGAAAAGTTTGAAGAATTAATTTTTTATTGTTTGGTATTAGAGGAAAAGTGGAAGGAAAGAAAAGATACATGTATTTAATTTATCATTTTATCCTTATATATAAATATATTTTAAGGACAAAAAAATTCATTTGTTAAAAAAAATGAATAGACAAGTCAAGAAATTAATAATTTTATGTGGGACCCACTAATTTGGTACACTTGTATATAAAAAATGACAAAATAAGTGGACTACACACTTCCTTCCGTACACTTTTCTCCCATTTGTGGAGTGATTAAAAATGGTGGGCCCAAAGGATATATTTTCCACCCAATTTTTCTTTCCCCTCAATTTTCCTTTCATACCAAACAAAGGAAAATATCATTTTCCATCCCATTTTCTATCCACCATTTTTTCATTCACCCACTTTTCCACCAAACCGAATAGGCTATAAGAGTTTGTTTGCATTTAAATTAAGTCAATTTTTAGTTCCAAATAATATTACTCGAAAAGGCATGAGTATAAAGTCTTGTCAGGTGCCGACACCTTTTCCCAAAAATTGGAATTTTGAACTTAAACATTGTTTGAGACGTAAATGATCAAATTTTAAGTTCTACATTTGGGGTTAGACCTTAGAATGATCATATGATTAATATGTAATTAGGTTATTCGCTAAATAGTACTCTTGTGCAAAGAAAACTCTACTCGGATTCTATTTTGTTACAATCCCGATAAAAAAGGTGTAACGATGTTGTATCGAATTATACAGAATTCACAAATACTCCGCAGGTTGATGGATAATCAATGAGTTGATAAAGAACCTAGATTTTGAGATGTAAGATCCTAGAAGAGTACCTTATATTTTTCTTTATTTTATCTAATTGTTTTGTTTTTATCAATTGAAAAATTAATGAAATTTATAGTTAAAATGTCCACTCTAATCCAAATTCCAAGCTTTTTTAAAAAAAAGAGAGAAGCATCTCAGACGTTTGTCTTTTAAAGGATTAATTATTCCTTTACCATTGTTTTCATGCTTTTTTCCCCAAAATCTTAAAGAGTTTCTAATATAGTTTTCATGAAAGTGTGTTTTAAAAATTTACATATTTAATGCAAAAGTATGTTTTGAAAACGCACTTTCATGAAAATACTGATAATTTGATAAATAATTTTGCAAAATACCATTCGTGGGTAATTTGTTTTTTAAAACGTTGGTAGAAAAATAATTAATTCTTCTTTTAAACTCATAATTGTAATATAAACCTATAAATCATTTGTATCAGTTTTGTACAAGACAAACAACATTACTAGTTATACCATTGAAATCCAAACGAAAACATTATAACACAATAATCAACGATGAAATTATCGCTCTCTCTCTCTCTCTCTCTCTCTTAGAATGGTTAGTTTGCTAGTTGATAGTTAGTCCACAGACCTATTCCCCCTTCAACTACCCACTTCTTCTCCCCTGGTAGAGAAGCAATGTTAGGGATCCTAAAATTGTATCCAAAAGCAGTATAGATCCTTGTTTCACGAACCAAACAAACCCTTATCAAGTGGTTGACTAAAATTTTTGGTTCTAAGCAAAAAAGTTTGCGGTCCTAATGCAGCACTAAAGTTGAGAATATTTCATGTTTTATATCAGAGGTACGTCTATACACAGATACGTCCGAATGAAAAAATTGAACACAGAAATTAAACCTTTCCTATGAAATGTTTCTGCTCTATGGCATATACTTGTTTCTTTTCTTCTTTCCCCCTAATAGTCGTAGTCATCCAATCGACGAGAAGCACCCAGATCCTCCCTCATACTCGATCTTTGAACTAACCGCACTAATGCCTGCACCACCTCAGACATGGGTGGCCGAAATTCCAATTCCGACTAAAACAATGGTATCACAACACATGTCAGAAACATGTTGGAACAGATAATTGTAAACCAACAACATCCAAGCGAGGCCTAATGTCTATGTGTGTGTGTGAGAGAGAGAGAGAGAGAGAGAGAGAGAGATGTTCTCACCTGCACACAAAGAGCAATGACATCAGCAAATCGAGAAAGTGACTTGGGAGGATACAGGCCACACAAGGCAGGATCCACCATTTTTGCCAATGCATCAATATCATGGAGCTGAGGGGTAGCCCACCGAACTAGAGATTGCTCAAATCTTGGCATTGAACTGAAAACAAAATTATACCAAAATAAAACTAAAATAAAATAAGCAACAGCATTATTCATCGCACAGACCATCTTTGTAATTTAAAACACTGAAACTCTAAATGTGTCCCACCTGTCAAAAGGCATTCGACCTGTCAGTAACTCCAACATGACCACGCCAAAACTATAAACATCGCTTTTCACTGTATGTGCTGAAGATGTTGTGCATTCTGGAGCATTGTATCCAGGACTCACGTTTTGGCTCGTACGCTGGCAAAATGTCAACTAGAACATTATAAAGAGAAGAGTGTCTCCCTTCCAAAAAAGGAGGGGGAAAGGACTGGTGAGCAAGAGACTATCCTAAAAGCACAATTGTATGACGCAAGACCCGAAAATGGCTTTACTGCGAAAATGCAGCAACCTAAGGTGCAAATTCACAGTTAAAAACAAAGAATAATAAATATACCTCATCTTTATGCAGATTGCAGCATAACAGAGTAACAGACCATAATGCAAATAATTACACGGATATTGTCCAGAAAATGTTATTCTTTTGTTTTCCAGTGCATTTATTTGCTTAAGTAACAGATATTTAAGACTAGTAGCATTTTGAGGGATACTGCCTTTCTATTCGCTTGGGCAACTTACAACTACATAGCAAATTACTTGTGTCCTAGTGGCATATCCTCCGGTAAATCTTGAACAACTCCAGTCGTAACCCTTTTAGTATTTTGTCTCCTTGTCTTACTTTTGGCATCGGAATCAAACTACTGCATGATAAGGCATTCACTGATTTTTATCTTCTTCTTTTTTTTTTTTTTGGAATATGGCCTAGACTTCTTCCCATGCTTATGCCTTCAATTGGTGCCAAACTGCCACCTGCAAGTTCTCAAAATTCCCAAAGCACGCCTCCTATCATACCTCTTTGATCAATGTAAAGGTTAGTGGCTCCCTAACAGAGAAATACCCAAAACATATCAATCCATGATCTTCCAGGCAAGATCAAGTACCTATACCGACAACTAAAGTGCTTGTTGGTGGCTACACTCAAATTTTTTAGACATTTTGTAAGTGCAGAAATTTGGTACCATGAAGCATAGCTGGCATTGCACACATTTTAGAATTCTTATCCCCTCAGCATATATTCTACAAAATAGCAAAACAGTGAACATAACATTTCATCCATACTGTGCCATCCATTTTACTCTATTTGTTCAAACCAAAGCAGCCGAACATTCCGCAAACCCTACAAGCAAAGAGTCTAAAACAAGCCTTCAAATCAAGAAGAAGATTGCAAACTGTGCTCATATCCTAGAAAACCAAAATCTGAAGTGTGAAGAAAATTATACTCCACTTACAATGATAGCGGGAAATAATAACAACAATATTTGTAAAGAGCTCTATTACTCACGCAAACAAAGTACCTGATGAAATGATGCCAAGCCACAGTCAGAGAGACAAGGATTCAGTTCGGTGTCAAGCAAAATATTAGAAGATTTTATGTTCTTGTGAACACAGGATGGGGAACAAACCTCATGCAGGTACCTAGATACACAAACATTGGCAGATGAATAGTGTAATAAGTAATATCACTGTTGATCATGAATATAAGTTTGACTATTCCCAATGCACGACCCTGCTATCATCGTAATTTTGGCAGCCAATTGATCCAATGCCCCATTAACTTTATTAACCTAATTTAGTAGTAACTCAATTCAGGAATTTAACATGGTGCTAACAATGAGGTGGATCTTGGGCTTGAGGATTATCAATACAACAATAGAACTGATACTTGAATAAATAAATGTAATATATTTGTGAAGGGGGTTCAGAATATCCCAGTGTATAATTAGACCATTTAACAAGGCCAAATGACAAAAGTAAGAAAGAACAATATGGCAAAGGCGGAGTGCCTCTGACCGAACCATCGTTGGTTCAACCAAATAGATACTGGCACTAGCCGACTAGAATTGGAGTCTCCTCAATCAAATGGTTCGGTTTGCACAACTCCTGAGCAGTCAGCAAAAAACAAGCAAACACAAGAATGAGAGAATCAATATCCAAATGGGACTCTGATTCCACAATTCAAGGGATTTAAGGCTAGGTCCACCCGAACAGTGAATAGCTAGGCTATCATGAATGACGAGAGACTCATGAGTAACCAATAAGGAAACCGCCTATTTCAAAAGTGTACATTGTAAACATGTGACCTAAAAAGTCGACTAATTGGAAAGGAAACATAGAAATGTTCAGTCATGAATTTGGGAAGATCTAGCCAGGAAATAAGTGTCCGCTGGGGCGCAAAAGAGCATATTATTACATGCCTGAGTTCTATATTATCTAGGCTGGGCCAGGTTTTGGTCTCATTACCCAATGGATCAACCCAAAGTCTGCTAGGTCGAGGATATTAGATTGACAATTTCAGGACTGGTATCTGGACATGGAGATACTAAAAACATTAACTAACATCACAGTTGTTTCTCTGCGTTGATATTAAACAGAATAACCTTGGGGTATTAAATCTAGATCACTCACACCTCTAAAACATTAAGCGGTTATTGATAAGTGGGTAGAACAGTATAAAAAAACCAAAATACCCCTGGTTGCATATTTCAGCAAACAAAAATGAACAAAAAGTATTTAAGATTCGTGTAGGTTTTAATGAACTATTTAAAACAATCCATATCAACTGATCCAAAAAGACTAGTATAAATCTTACTCAACAGCCCGGGCTGTGCCCAGAGCAATTTTGATTCTTGTGTTCCATGTAAGTGGTTTACTGAAGTTATCTGACAGGTGTAGGAATTCATGAAGTGAACCATTCCTGAAGTACTCGTAGACTAACATATGTTGTCCCTGTTCTGAGCAATAACCAACAATTTCAGCAATGTTTGGATGGTGAAGCTTGGAGATGTTCGTAACAATTTCTGTAAAATCTACCCCTCCCTCGCCTTGGAAAAGAGAGGAATCTATCTTCTTTACCGCTAAAACCTGATCAAACATAGTATAGATCTAGCCATTAATATTTCCAACCCACAGTCAAAACTTCTAATTAGAATTATTCATCAACCACCGGCATAAATGACAACAAAAATCTGACAGAAGAAATGATGAATAAAAGAACTTTCTAAAAAACATTCGATACATACTCTAGGCAACATAAGGCCAAAACTAGAAGTCAGACATTTAAGAACAAATTTAGTTCAATGGAAAATGAATTCTGACCAAAAAATAACTACAAAGCAGATTTGAAAGGAAAATATGTGATACATCAACCATAAACAGAATTACGTGAACAACAAAATCTGCTAAAACATCAAAGCCCCACCATATGATACTTAAACATCTTCAACAGCAGTAATAATTCCAGAATAAGAAGCTGCTTACCTTAAAAATAAGAAGAAGAAAACTTGAAAACAAGATAATCATACACAAAGACTTGGATTCACATTTGTGTGTGTGTATTTCCACTGTTCAACCACTAAACCACAAATTCCTCCAAAACTCCAAGGCACGTGTTCCTTTTTCTTTCTTTGATTGTTCAAGCAGTAGATTGTGGGATTTGAAACCTACACCCTAGTAACCCAACTTCAGCATAAGGCTCTAGTTCCAAGGCCACTTTGTAAAGAGGTTTTCAATACAAGATAAAGGCCAAGGTCTCTAACCTATTTACAACCTTTTTTGCATAAACATTGTCAACTATATAAGTTCCACAGTTAAGATGGAAACACAAAAAGCTTCATTCAATTCTTAAAGCAACTACAGATTGAACCTTAAATAGAAAAAGTTGGACATTAAGTTAACCAGACTTCTTCTGATAAGGTTTAGTCTCTGAACTTACAAATTTGCGGGTCTTCCAAACCAAAACAGAAGACTTTCGAGATTGATAGATTGTCATGGCACCTGAATTAGGCTACCAATATTTCTAGAAGCTTAAGCCGTTAAAGAAATAGGTTTAACAATGTATATGAAGCTCTCAGTTACCTCCCTTGAGTGTGAACCTCTCTTGCACATGGAAAGACAAGCAGATGAACAGAACATTCTAGACACAGGGAGACTTGAACCCAAATCCATTGAAACCAAAGCTACAGTAGCCTGATATACCTTGTGGGGGCCATCCTGTGACAGCCTAAGGTTTTAGACTAATCGGGAGCTTAACATGCTCTAGATTTCTGATCTGGGAGGTCTTGGGTTCCATCCGCATTTAGTCATTAAATATATGCCTGTTGCAGTCATAAATTGGCTTTATTGTTTCTCCTACGACCTGGGGTAGCATGTCTAACAACTTTTAAGTAGTTAATTTTATAATTAATGTTGCATTGAATTCAGTTCCCTAAGGCCTTAATGCCTATATGGGAGAGCACTTACTCCACCTCATAGATCGGAAAGCAGCTCCATGAAATTAATGAGTTCCCTTATCCCCGTGACATTATTTCTTTAAGATGTAGGCATCAGGAGAAAGCAAATACCTAAAAACTAAAGATGAGAGATAAATCTGCGAGGATTTTATAAGCATCTAATACTTCTCAGTTTCACCAAGGACAAATGGAAAGCACTCAGCATGAACTTATACATGGAACATCAAATGAGAGTCAAACTGGTAAAATATGTTTGAAATTGCTCAAAGAATGCCTGCTGCCTGCGGTTAAAACTCTACCATCTAGACCACATGTACACTTTTTTATATGGTATATATACAAAAAGGATAAACAAACATGTACCTATATAGTCCTGCAAAAGTTCATCACATGGGTTAGACAAATTCTTCAAATGATATGTGAACTATGCAACTGAGAAAGGAGCTATACCTTTCCATCAGTGTATTTAGCTCTATAAGCTCGCCCAATTGATCCCTCACACAATGAAGGCGACCTGTTGCAAAGTTACCAGTATGCAGTCTGAAGTTCTGCCAAAGAATAACACATGA